CGAATACGCAGGCGATGAAATGCAGTAAAAACTACAAGTTTAGTGAAGTATTGAGCTTTGGAGAGTTGTTGAAGTGTTTCCTTAATTAGTGGTAACATGTACCTATCCCTTTTTGTGATTGAATTGAGACCACAATAGTCAACACAGAATCGAAGACCTCCACCGGGTTTTTTTGCGAATAGAACGGGTGCATTTGCTGGAGAGCTGCTGGCATGAATCCATCCTTTTCGTAGGTAATCTGTAAGGGTTTTCCGGAGGACAAGCAACTCGTCTCGTAACATACCTTAAAGTGGACCAGAGGGAGGTTCCTTGGGTTTACCTTCATTATCTAGGTTGAGGTTTATGGAATGGCCCCATCCTCATCAGCTAGAAAGTTCTTTGTTAGGTGTCGAAGCTGAGGAGGCAGCTGGCTTGACAATTCTTCCGCAGATTGCTTGTTGGCTGATTTATCTAATTTTTCTAGAGCCTTTTTGATATCTGCTATAGTAATTGAAAACAAATATAGATTTTTATTTATGTTTCTTCCACGTCAGATTTCTGCAGCAAATATTGAAGCTGTGACGTTTTTTGCCTGGCGTATTTGACAAATATGACTCGATAAATCTTCTTTTTCCATCCATCCAGACTCCTTAACTTTTTTTGCATTTCCCCCAATTCCTAGGGTAAGAAACTTTTTTCATGATTCATAGGTCACATTATTTTGCTCGTCCCAATATTTGCCGAGGATTATGTTATATTGTAAGTTTTCAACAATGTAACCAAAAACTCTCTCAACTCTGCCATCAATGTCAAGTGTAGCCCAAGTCATCTCCGTGATAAGAATTTGGAGTCCATCTTTAGCAAGCTTTAGTGATCTATGGGTAACTGGGTGGCGTGGTAAGTGTGTTTGGTTTGCGAATTTTTGATCAGGTACTGCATAGGGTAGACATCCTGTATCAAATGATGCAGTAGAATAACAAGTAGAATTTATTAAAACATCAATTAAAAAGGGACTACTGTTTAATATTTTTATAGCATCACTAATTTCTCTAGCAGGTGGTACTTGATCTAAAAGTTCTCCAAACACACCAATGTTCCCCTGAACACGACTTTGCTCAGGGGTTACTAGTTTCCCGGCTCGCTTGATGATACATTAGCTATCCTTGAGTTGGCTGTATCTGTGTGAAAGCCTTTAAACTTGCAGTCCCTGAAACGGTGAGATGGATAAATGTTGCATTTAATGCAGCAGCCTGATTTAAGACGCTGGCTACGCTCTTCTTCGGAACAGTGGGGGGCATTTGGACGTTTATCTAATGGCCGGGGCTGTCCTTGTATTCGAAAATTGTTTTCATTATTCAAGGCTGATATAACTGAAGAGACAATAGAAAAAATATCAGTTCTCGACATTTTAACATCCCCCTCTAAATCATGTAAAGAAGAGTTGTGCATTTGTTGTCTAACCAACTGAGGCTGAGGCGGTGGTTGACTTTGAGTTTGAGTTGCAATTTGTTTACGCACCTTTTTTCTGGATACTTAATTGAAGGTCTCCAATCGCATTTTCGGTATAGGTTTCTACTTTTTCATTTATATTCAAATATTGAAATTTGGGTAAGGAATCCCAGTTTGTTGCCAGAATTGATAATTGCTTGACGTACTTTTAACAGTCAAGCTTTTCCAGGTTTATCTGATGAGCGGCAGCCCGGCTTAGATATGGAGCTATCGATTCAGATAACGTGTGAATTCTGGATACTCCAATAGGAGCAAGATCACCTGAGTTGCTGAGATAGCCTTCGAAAATGTGTAAGAATTTTGCGAAAGGGTGCGCTTTTCCTTGCCTCACAGAGTATAGTAGGCGTCGATTCCGAGCTTCTCGGTCCCTGTTGACAAAATGTCGGTCAAATTTGTCGAGAAGTGAGCTTGAGTAAAATTCTTTTGCTTTAGCTTGTTTCTCGAAGAAAGGTCCCACTCTACTTCTATGTTCCGCTGGTAGGGTCTGCATGAGCGCTAGGCAGACGCCTCTTTCACCACCGAAGCCTATTACTACTGCTGGATCCTGCTACTTGCCACATAGCTAAGCATAAAGAATATTGATCAGGCGTTCCATCCCAAGGCGTAAATTTATACTGGACAGCATTGATTTGAGTGTCCATTATGACTATAATTATTGGTATTGTTGGTAAAAGGATTGTACTGCGGCGTTATGAATTGTTCTATGTAATTGCGGTGTTGAGGATGTCGTTAGGACTTTGGCAGGGATCTGATTTAGCTCATTAGCGAGGCGCTTGGAGTAGAGGAAGAAAGGGCAGAGGGAGAGGAAAAGGGTAGACAACGATTGATGTATTTCGAGATACCAGTTAATTGACATTATTCACCGACTTCGTGATGGACAGCTGACTTTGTGACGGCACCCAATTTGTATTACTTCGTATTTTACCAACAGGTATTGTGTATAACTGTCTGGTTAATAAATTTAGGCTTCTATGGCACTGGGTCTTAAAGAGATCTAAAATGATTCTCGGGTTAAATGTGTTGTCGAAGCTCCTGTAATTGCGAGGCATCGCTGGTCATAGGTAGTTTGGACTTAAATGGAGATTACAATCAATGTGATAGCATAAGGTTCGGGAAAGGCTCTGACTGAAGGCAAAACAATAATATGATTGTAATTTATAAATAGAGAAAGATAGGTTGGTTCACTAAACAATGGATATACATAAAAGTGGATCTATATTTTTCCTAGCATCCACTTAGCACGTGACTAGTGTCCTATGACAATATGGGATCAAATAGTATGGAATGGAATGTAATGGATAGTGTAGGAAATGTGATGTGGACATCAAGAACATGTATATTGTGATATGTATCTCCTTGCAGTAGGAAAAAGGATAAGTCATCTGAATACAAGCGTTCTTCAGTTAACACAAGTATTAAGGATATCTATGTTGGTGTTCTACAAACACATATAGTATCCTACCAAGGTAGAGAATCAACCCATATGTGCTCATAATCTTAACAAATAGCAACTTATGTTACAGTTTGTATCATCTTCACCCCTCAACACAACCACCCAGCATCATCATCTTAGAGCTAATTGCAATCAGAGCAGATGGCAGGCTTGAAGCCCTACTCACCCCCCACTCTTGGCCATGGTAGAGAAGCCATACAATGAGTTTCCAGAGTGTACCCAGCACCCAATGCGGCAATGGAGAATTAGATCACGCAGGCACCCTATTTTACAAATAAAGAGGGTGAAGATGAATTTACTTATTTCCTGTGGCTTTGTTGTGGAGTCTTTGCTGGGCTGGGGCTATGGTTTTTCGAGGATTTTTCCTGCGCACGCAGTCTACATTGTTGAAAATTTAAGGTTACTGTTATATTAAGTAGGCTATATAGGAGCAGGACGATGGATACTCTTGGGGAAGGTATGCTCACGGTAGGTCTCTATAATCGCTGCCACGTGTGTTCTTGTGATATGTAAGACTTGATTCTACATTCTCGTATAAAGGAAACTTAGTTACAATGAATGGACGGAGGTTGAGACCTCCTTATATCTGGCTCCAGATTTTCTGTGATGTTCACAGCCTAGTGCTAGATGTTACGATGTGAAATCACTCAGCCAATTAGACAAGCTATATTAGATGATATAGAGATATATACAGGATGTCGTTGGTGCAGTGACATCATAACAGTTGCATATGGATGGTGTGAACAAGAATGTAAACTATTCTATAGCATATGATAGAATATATTACATCACAAGATGGAATATTCTACTGGCAATTAGATAGATGAGCTTTAGGTATAAATAGGAGCATTCTTCTTCATATTGATAGCAATCATCAGGGAAAAAATCTAATAAAGCGAACACATATCATCGTCCACTTCATAATAGTATCAAGCACATATTGATAAAGCCACTGTTTGTATGCAATTCCCCTCCTCATAATCACAATACTAGAACATTCCCTCGTGATATCATTTCTCTCCTTCGAGAAATGACCAGTTCGTTCTCCTTCAGTCCAATCTGTCTCTCGCTGATTCCATTGTCTATATTATATCAGGTTCTACTTTGGTCCATAACATCCACACATGCATTACACACTAAACACCCCATGGTTTAGTTCCCCAGTCACGTGCATATACTATAACGTGAACCAAAGCATGTACCATGGTAAGTTGCATGGATAACACAACAGTTACGTAGAAGGTAAAGCTGAACTCTTCTGGTTATTCATCACAATTACAAAGCAGAAATGTTTTTTCAAGACAAAGTCAATAAGTGCATTGTGTAGGATATGGGCAGGGTGAGGTGGGAGTATTGTGATTATGAGGAGGGGAATTGCATACAAACAGTGGCTTTATCAATATGTGCTTGATACTATTATGAAGTGGACGATGATATGTGTTCGCTTTATTAGATTTTTTCCCTGATGATTGCTATCAATATGAAGAAGAATGCTCCTATTTATACCTAAAGCTCATCTATCTAATTGCTAGTAGAATATTCCATCTTGTGATGTAATATATTCTATCATATGCTATAGAATAGTTTACATTCTTGTTCACACCATCCATATGCAACTGTTATGATGTCACTGCACCAACGACATCCTGTATATATCTCTATATCATCTAATATAGCTTGTCTAATTGGCTGAGTGATTTCACATCATAACATGGAGCCCAATGTCCTGGATGATCATGGACTCCAGGGGCATTATAAACACTAAACCTACGCAAAAAGGTAGTGATGACTCCAATCACAACTACAACAGGTATGAGTCAGACTAGAGTATCATCTGAATTTACAACAAATCTCTAAAGACGACATTCTTCCTATAAAGCTCCTTCACCAACTTCTTTAGATTTGAGGATGCCTCGCCGTCACCCACAATCTCTGTTACGTCTCTCAGGTAGAACCGACATGTATACCATCATCTATAACAATCTCAACCATCTCAGTGAAAGTTCAAGGCACTACTGATAGCTGATCCGCCACTCATCATCTTTAAATGACAAAAATATCACATAGTTACTATTGAATCCAAAGTCCTTCCATGAAAAGAAGCAGCCATCCGACAGGGTTGAGTGCCTGAAGCTTTGACTGATACTACATCCCAATTAACAGCACTTTTCCAGACTAAGAAATAGTGACCACGAGGACCTAGAAGAGTTAGCCTTATTTTCTGATTTAATAAAGAAACATTTTACTTGTTATGCTAGTTTCGCCGTTCAGTAAAATGGGATAAGCAGTATAAAAGCAAGGTTCACCATAGTATGGAATTTCCATAACCATAGGATATCCGCTTATAGGTGCTGATTGAGAGTTTCCATAGGCTGTCTTTATGTGATCTTCTGTTATAGCAACACCATCACAGTAAAAAACAATATCAGCACATGCCAATTTTGATATACCTAATAGTGCTACAAGCCACTCGAGATTTTGGATCTTCATTTCTGGTAGGATACAGATTCTATTTTGCCAGATGACAAGGTGCTTTTCCAATCAGTCTAGCCTGTAATTTCTCCGGCTGTGAAATGTTTGAAGGGTGACAGGAAAAGAAAAGACTATGTGTGCGACGTCTATCTCGACTCGAAGGTGGCTATGGGTGCTGGTATAAATAAGCAAGTTGTATTTGACGGTGTAGGCAAAGCTATGTAGCTGGTGTCTTCAAGAATGCGGAACAATGAGCAACATTATATACAAGACTTGGCCCTGTCAATATCCTATCATTATCAATGGCTGGAAAATATGGGTATAAGGAGTGATAAATTACTGAATTATCAAGGATAACATTTTATTATTAATTATTACATTTGATTCATCATCCTGATTCTGCACTCCATGGGCTAGTGCAGGTGTCTGAATGTTGATATTTACATGTGAGGAAGCCTCTCGGTGTGGAGCCTCCGGCCTGTTTATTTATTGTCTTAATGTTACCCCTATGCCCTTCAGCAAGCACAGTCATATTCTAGTACTACTGACACAAAGCAATCACACATTCTCTATTGATCTCGAATTTGGCCGTCTCTATCATCTGTAATGGCTCGACCCATCCATAGTTTAAGATCCACTATATCACTCGTTGGTAGTCATAATTATGTTACGAAATCAAAGCCTGCAACTCAATATGGCATAGATAGTGGGCCGTGGAAGCTTTGGAAGTGGTCGAAATGAAGGACTTAAGATTGGGAGGGTAACACCTAGAAGGGCAACAGAGGCAGTCCATCCTTCAAATTCCATCTCACCTTCCAAGACGCTGAGCAGCGGCTGGGCTTAATTTTAATTGTGCTGGGCTCCTTTGGGATGCTGGATCGTCGGGTAATATTTACAGGCTGAGTCGAATGGCACTTGGCCCTGTTTAGAGTTATGCGCCGGCACAACATTAATCAATCAACAAATGAACCCCTAATCATTGTCATGCAAAGTCTCATCTCATCCACACACAGAAGTTCATTTATCTCATTTTCTTAATTTGACAAATAAAGCTACAGTATGGCTGCGCACAAACAGCCGTCATCCTCGGCATCAACTGACTCAGGCGACCAATTACACTCCATCCTCCTTGGAATGGCTCTTGCAATGAAGCAATAAGAACGCGTAAGATGGTAGAGATAAATCGCAGACCAGGATTCTCTACAAAATATTGACGCCAGAGCGAGATCCAAGACACGAACCAAGGTGTGGCCTTAGTCATGCCTCTCATAGAAAATATTTCACCTATTGTGATGGCGTTTGCAATGGGTAATTCCAATGCCACAATCCATACAGCCAGGAAACCAGCACTTGAAACCACTCAGATGATAACCCCTATGCCCAAGGCGATAAAAATAGTCGAAAGACAATATTATGAACTACCAAAAAGACCACAAGAAACTACGTGTCCGTGGGTCACAGTAGCCCAGCAGGCAGCTAAGCTCCCGGATCCTCCCGCCATTTCAGCCCCATAAAATTCCACTTCACTCATAAGGCCTTGAGAATCCCGAAGCTCAGGTAACCAGAAGCTGGGGACGAAATGAAATTCCAGGCCCCGAAATCATCGAACGTCCGCGCAACTAGTGCAACACCGATTGATAAAGTCTTAGCATTAACCAACAACCCTAGAAGTAAGCATAGTTGTGATACAGTAAGGAGACACACATGGGAATGAATGTAGGGGTAGCCAATGGCAAAAATGGCGCGTAAATAAACCGAGTATCAAGTGTGGCTTATATGAAGGAGAGCGGATAGGAATGATTCATTTGTACAAATAGAGCACGAGTCCGTAATTTGGAAGAGGAGGAAAAACAACCATTATACAGAGTTTTCTATTGTACATCTAGTATTTTTGATAGTGAAGCATAGGACGGTCGTAAACCGTCAATAATAACCATGTACTATTGTCACAGATGCAAACTCTCATCCTGGAGCCCTAGAATATTTTTGCTAGCTAAGAATTTCAAAAAGTCATATATCACAATAAAGAAGCTGATCACTGAGAAAACCGGAGTTGCGGCATCGGTAATTAATACAATGCGCCAGGCTCGATCAGGTCTAGCACTAAAATATGCATAAGAGGAGCTTCGAGAAAAAATATTGGGAATTGTAGATTAATTTCAGCAAGAAAGCTTCTGTATCAAAACCACATCAGACTGGACTTCAGTCATAGAGTGACCCGCTTTGCCCGGATTGGGACTGGTCACTACAACTACTCCGGCTTCGAGTTTAGGCTGTAACAGAGCAACGCTCCTGGAAATACAAATGGGACGCTAAGGAGGAATCAAGGGGGTACGTACCAGATGGGGATATCGGCACGAGAGAGGAGATGAGATGGGGAAAAAGGATGATTCTCAGGTGGCCAAGGGAGGAATTTAACACTTCTCTATGCCGAAGACTTTAAGGACAGGACACAATGCTGTAGATTAGCTTCCCGATGAAATATTATTCATGGCCATTGAATTATTGACCTCAAGTACTTCTTGTGACGGCTTGTAAGCCTGTAATTGCCTATAGCCTGCGCTGTCTAACGCAGGCTTAGCATGAAACTAGGCAGGGACTATTCTTGGAAGTGTTGGAAATATTGCGCAATGAAATGGGCGAAATATTAATGGAACGAAAATAAAAGTTGACTAAAAGAGTGTCATGTTCGGATTACAGCTAAAAGTGTGGGAAGTGTGCGCTACAAGTACAAGTGTAAGCGACACAGAGCCTAAGCCACAGCATAAACGAGTGTGGCGCCATCTAGGCGTAGAAAACCCCCCTATAACCTCCTTGTGCCCACGCCATACAGCTGCTAATATATCCAATAGGTAGCCTGAAGCGCTACCATATTACCTATTCCAACCTCTTAAATACACATAAGATTGTGTCGGGAACCTAGACGAAATGGAGGGCCCGTACGTCCACAACACCCTGTGTCTCCATTTCCAACAGGAAGCAGGGTCTTACAAATTGGCAAACACCTCCAAGAATAGGGCACGAGAAGGGATACTGATATACGGATAGAAAACTGTGTCATTGGCCTGGGTAATAATCATGTAAAAAGTAACTTTTATTATCCTCTTCAATCTGTAGTTCACTATAGATTGAAAATAAACTACCTCTGACCATAAGGTTGCTCAAGTGCCTATGCTTAGACTGTGACATATTTTAAATCTAAAAACTCAATACTCACAACGAACGACAATACGAACGACGGTACGAACGGCGAATGATAAACGACGTTCCACGAACAAAGTTAGATCAAAGAAGATATAGAAATCACGGAGGGCTTAGAAAATGTATTCCCAATTCGAAATAGCCATGGCTGAGAATAATTCCCTGAAGGAAGAAAACCTCCACCTACAAAGACAATTGGGTATCTCTGCAATGCCAAGCAAGACCCCCGATCAAACCTCAGAAGTTGAAATAATTAAAGATCCAGCAAGGAAGAATGGGAAGTTAAAGCCCAACCAGCTCCCTAATTACGACAGCAACAGAAAAAAAATATCCCGCATGGAGAAAAGCTGTGCTGTCTACACTGCGGCTTGACTGGAATACCTTCAAATATACTGACCAGCAAGTATTTCTCATGATTTACAACTGTTTGAAGGGAGAAGCTCAGGAGGAAGCCGGCTCATATTTGAAGACCGGAGGGAAAAACGGAGTGGAGAGCCCAGAGGACTTTATAGAATTCTTGGATCGTGGCAACTGGGATCTTACCCGAATTACCCGGGCAAGAACTGAATTGGGCAAATGAAAGATGGGGGAAAATCAGCAGTTGAATTCATTTTTTCCCACCTGGTCAAATAAGTTAACCAAAGGGAGGGGTGATATGTGGCCCGACAAAACTAAAATTACAGTGCTTCGTGGCGCACTCCATAAGACTCTCCTAAAAACCTTGGGCAGTGACCATATTCTCCCACAGAATGATTTTTTTGCCTGGACGAAGATTATTGGCCAGATATCCCAACGACATGAAGAGTTAGAAGTCCAATCTAACTGGCGTAGGAGTTGGGTTGCACCAGAGAGCTTAGATCACCAAAATGGAAGTCACAATAGCCCAGGTAGGAGACCTAGTATAGGGGGATGGAAGCCTCCGAATAGACATTGCAGAACTGCCAGAGAAATTGATGCTGTGGGCAATACTTTCATGGGAGGTATTAACTCTGCCAACGTGGCAAGGGGCGTAATCGGGAAGTCGCCGGAGCAAATCCAGAAACTCCAAAGAGAGGACAAATGTTACAGATGCGAGCGTCAGGGCTGTAACACGAGAATTTGTCGGGTTTTGCCTGCACGGAAATCGAGTGCCGTAGGAATATCAGCTTCATCGGCCTCCCTTCCAGAAATAGAATTACGATTATTAATAGAGGATGAAGATGAATATCTGAATGTAGGCCAACAGTTTTCGGAAAACTAGATACTCCTGAGCAAAGTCACACTCAGGATCCTAAAGCAGTTGTTAGTCAAGAGTTAATAATGAATACATCCCCATTTTTAGTTAATGCACTTACCAACAATTCCACTATGTTGCAAGCATTGGTTGATAATGGTTTATTGTGCTCTGGGATTACTAATGATAACCTGGCATCTAAACTACAACTGCCACGCATAAGTATTAGACCTCGATCTTTGGAAACAGCCGAAGATTCAACAACTAATAAGCCAGTAGTCGATATCATCACCTACATTTCTTTTGATCTAGACGGATATGTGATACCAAAGATATGGTTGTATGTGGTCCCACATTGTACCCATCAGATGATACTTGGGAAGAAATGGCTCGAGGATCAAGATGCTATAACTCATGCAAAAGAACAGCGACTAGAAATTCGTAAGATTGGGATCTCGATCCATAGTGCGAAGCGCTGGAGAAATGCTCTGCGCAACGTTGCGCGACCGAGAATGATACCTGTTGATAAGATGTTATCCATGATTAAGGAAGTGCCAGTCTGCAAAGCTTCCCTATATGAAATTAACAAGGCTTTACGCACGATACCAAACGCTACAGTGGATCAAGCTAAAGAAAAATTGCCAGAGCAGGTAAGGGAATTTGTGCACCTTTTTGCAGACAGTGGTGGGGCAGACGAATTACCACCTCTACGAGGTACCCTAGACCACGCCATCAATCTCCAACAGCAAGACGGCAAGCCGCTATCCCCGCCTTGGGGGCCATTATATGGAATGTCTCGGGAGGAACTACTCGCTCTACGGAAAACGTTAACGGAATTGTTACATAAGGGATGGATTCGTCCAAGTAACTCAGCAGCAGCAGCAGCACCAGTACTCTTTGCAAAAAAGCCAAATAGAGGTTTGAGATTGTGTGTTGACTATAGAGGGTTAAACACAATAACCACACCAGATCAATACCCTCTATCCTTGTTCAAGGAAACTCTCCGGCAACTATCAAAGGCAAGATGGTTTACGAAGTGTCACAGACCGGCTTTCCCACGAGGAAAACAGCCTGCTCGTCACTACCATTGTGCCATGGGCTAATGCTGAGATGCTGCGCTTAGTCTGGTCATCCAAGTCAGGAGCTTCCCTAGTAACATAGTCAATGCGTTGCGATGGTTACAATGTTATGATAGCAACAGTTACTAATCAAAATAAGCAATCAGTTGCTATGTTATAGCTGTAGACTACCAAACCCCTGATTGTAGTAGCCGCTCTTGAGTACTTAAGGAAGGTCTAGGACTGGATTTGTTCTGTAGCTTTTTGTCTTGTAATTATTCTAGACTTTAGATTGATCGGATTATTATAAGCTTTACCTTATACCCCGATTCTGTCCCGACTCCGCCTCCGTCTTGTCTCGCCCTCGTCCCGTTCCGATCACATCTTGTCCCGACTACATCCGTCCCGACTCTGTCCTGTTCCGACCCTTGACCTCCGAACTAACCAACGAGCCTGACACGAAGCTGGATGTCATGTCGGCATTTCATCGACTTCGAATAAGGGAAGGAGACGAATGGCTGACAGTATTTCGATGCAGGCTGGGACTTTTTGAATGGCTTGTAACACCATTCGGATTAATTAACGCGCCCGCTACCTTTTAGAAGTACATCAACGAGCAACTTTGTGAACACTTGAATCTCGATGCGACAGCATATATGGATGATGTACTTGCTTACACTAGCGGTAGTGAAGATGAACATTGGAACACGGCACGAAGTATTCGCAAGCTGAGTAAGGCAGGACTATACTTAGACATTAGCAAATGCGAGTTCCTGTCTAAAGAGGTCAAATACCTAAGGTTTATAATTCGTGCAGGTGATGGAATAAAGGTGGATCCAGTCAAAGACAAAGCCATTCTGGAATGGGACCCACCATCCACTGTAAAAGGTGTTCGGTCGTTCCTAGGGTTCGCAAATTTTTATCGGTGTTTTGTGGATGGATTCTCAGAGATTGCGGCACCACTTACTGCTCTAACCAAAAAGCATTCAACATGGCAATAGGGTGATGCAGAAAACGAGGCTTTCAAACAATTGAAAAGAATTTTCGCATCCCAACCAGTTCTAGCACAGTGGGATCCAGATCGCGATACTGTACTTGAAGCAGACTGCTCAGGGTATGCCATGGGAGGCTGTCTATCTCAGGTAGACAAACAGGGTAGATTGCGGCCAGTAGCGTACTATTCGAGACGGCTAACAAGTGCGGAGGCTAATTACCCAATTCATGACAAAGAAATGCTCTCTG